GGGTGAAAAGACAGATGAGGGTGCAGAGCTGGGATGAGGCCACAATATTTCATCATAGACAGTATAGAACTAGGGCTGGATAAATTGTTTAAAATAATCATCATCATATGACTATCCTTTGGCCGACAGCATGTAATACCACACGCACGCTACATGATGTTGTCATTAATTCTGAAGCTTCACACCGGTCTCCCTCTGCTCATGTATTTCATGTAATCTACAAAACACATCACATCACAAAGATTAGGAATTGAAGTATTCCCAAAGGATTAACCTCCTCCTCTGGCCTCCTTACTGCACCTTGCACTGTGGAATGTCCTCTCAGCAAATCAATGGCAGCCTTTTCCGAGACTCGCAGTGTCCACCTTGCAGTGTGGAATGTCCTAATCCACAGAGAGGGATGCTTGAGTGCTTATAACCACAGGAACACCTTTCAACACTGCGTTAAAATAAAAAAAAAAACCCACCCCCCTCCCCCTTTACACTTCTCCCAAAACCATTAATTTTTTCACCATTGTTCAACAGAAATACAAAGGTCAACTAGCTTATAAACCAACTATTTGTTTTCAAATCTTTGGAGGTCACTCGACATGGCTTTGAGGCAACCAGTAAAAGTCTATCAGATCCGCTGGATCTCTTTGTTGACGCATACAGACCACCTGCTGCATGACAAAATGCCTTACACTACACTTTCACTTCCCTCTCACCAAGAAAGATAGCAAACCTCCTCCTGGTGCATCACAGATAGAGGAGAAACAAAAAGAAAATCGGGACAGACGCCAATCTTCCGCCCATCAGACACCAATCAGAGCCTCGCAACCTGCTGGCATCCCTCTGGAGGACTGAGATCAGTATCTGGCAGCATGCTGGTTGTCCAGGAGCAGGCAGCCTGGTGGCTGTCACCCAGTGCCCAGAGAGAGACATCCTCTTAGGGCTGGGACAAAGGTGGCCGGTCCTCAGGGATTACCCATTAGCATGCTAGTTTGTGTGTTTAACACTGGCCTGAATGGAAAGGACAAGAGCCAACACCCCGGCCTATTCTTAAGCAGGGAAGTGTTACTGTTTCAGCTGCTAATGCTGGTCTGACTTCTGCATATATGTGCATAAATGCATATATATTAGGAATTTTTGTTTCTATCGGTATGCTGTCTGACTTAATGATACCTCTGCTTTATTTTTAAGGTGGAGCTGGATAGTTTTAAAGTTACGTACAAAAAATTATAAATGCATGTTTTAATATTTATGAACTAATCCAACAGAATTTAAAAGACTACATGTAAAGAGGCCTTTAAATTTGTATATGATGAACATGTCCTTGACTTTTCTTTTGAATGGCCTATGAACTTGTACTTTTTTTTGTTTTGACTATCAGACTGTGACATACACTGATTCAGGAGCAGAAATGCATGTTGTCTGCTGCAAGAAATGCATATTTTTCACGTTTTTCACATTTACGACAATCTGTCCTATTCTGAAATTTATTGTAGCGTGTGAATAGGAGCAAGACAAGCCAGGTGGCAGTTCAAAGTATTGCTGATTTTTTCACTCAGAGAAAAAAAAAGCTCATTTCTGAAAGGTCATTCAGCTATCTGTGCATTTAGCATCATCATAGTCCTCCTTTTCCTGCTTGTGTGTTAGACTAATGATGTGGAAAGACGCCTGTATGGAAATGTGTATTTGCGATTGTGTTTCGGTGTGTATGTGTGCCGACGATTGTGTGAAATGGTCCTCTTTTCCGACTGCAGTGTGTGCGATTATGTGCTCAGCCTTGCTGGCTAGTGGTTGATAATCACACTAGACGCCGTGTGTTTGTGAATCTCTTAGCTGAGGAGATTCCCACCGTGCTCAGTGTGTCTGGCCTCTGTGTGTTTTTGGGGTTGCACGCGTGACTCCGCCAGCTGTTCTATTCTCCTGTTGGCCCCCTCAACCCCACACAGCCCTTGTCCTTCGCCGACCCCTCCTTCCCTCAGAGGCCTGCTCTTCATCTGATAAGGGCTCCACTGGCCAAACCCTCAGCAGAGCTCCTCAGAGCTGCTCCTGCTAACAATACGCCCTCCTTCCCTTCTGTGCGCGCACCATTTACATGTGAAAACACTGGGTCTTATCTTCAGTTCACTGGAGCAGTGGCACAACAGCCAAGTAAGTGTGCGTGCTCGTGTATGTGCGAGCGAAAGTGGGCCTGGGAGAATTGCATGAATCCAAGCAAAAATGAACAGTAAACACTTACGTGACTAAATCCATATTTATATCCCTCCTTCATTTTCTGATATAATGTTATTAGAAATGAAATAAAACATAAAATATAGAGTAACCTCATCAGTCTCATCTAGTGCTAGCTGAAAGAATGAACGTCTTTATTACAAGTGGGATATAAGCCAGATTTTATCACACTTGCACTGTTTCCAATAGCTGAAAGCTATGCTAATGCTAAATGAAAGACCCTCAAGAGAGTAAAACTACTTTCTGGCTCATCTCCTTGGAATACTGCCATGGTATCTGTTAACAATGCTTCTCATCTACATGAACATTAACATCACCTTTCTCCTTACTACCATCATAACAGCCAACCCCGTTTCTAAACACAGTCTTCTTCCTGTCATTCTTTGCATCGTCTTCACTGTTCTTACTCCACTGACCTAATATATTTACAGGGATGGTGAATATATGGACTGATCCAGCCACACACTATTCAGCAGCCTATGCAGAAAGTCCAGATTTCCTCTTATTCACCGGACAGAAAAAGAGAAGTGTGCAGGGTTTTAATTAAAGGTCTGTGTAGTTAAGGGCTTGGGCTAAGCAAACATGGGCCTCCAGCATCACAGTTTAAGATGAGGTAAAGGAGCGCGGGGTGATCAGAGTGTAAGCGGCTTGCAATGAAAGGGGGAGGAGGGGGCAGAGGAGAGAAAATGAGAAAGGGCAGAAAGATAAAAACTGAGAAGAGTGGAACAAAGAACAATTAGGAATCAGGGAGCAGGTAGAACGATGGAAAGGACAGGAGAGGGCCGAGTGCTGTCAAAGATGGTATCACGCTATCTGTAAAGCGGATATTAGGGTGGGAGGGGCCAGAGGAAACGGGGGGCTTTGAGGGATGTTGCAATAAAAATTGAGGTGGCTAGGGAGATAATATTTGTTTTGTATCCATTAAATTATGTGTAACACATTTGGATACTTGCCATGAACACAAATCATCTGACGGTGTAAGTTTGAATTTTGTTTTTATCAAGCAATACACAAACAGCTGTACGCACACACGAACACAGCCACACAAAACAATATTTGATACGTATGCTAATCTGGCAGAACAGAAATAAGCTTTTGCACAGGCTTGAGGTTTTTTCATAATGGTGAAATGCTTCCATCTGTTGGTAGAACTGCGACATTGCATGAGTCCGCGCAGCTGCCACTGAGGCATTCGAGAAAGTAGTAAAGGAAATCAATACTTGTGGGCAGAAGAGCACTGATACATGCTAACTACTCACCAACCATCTCTGACAGACACTTTGAGGTTGTTTGAAAAGGTTAAAGAGATACAGCAGCAGAAACAACCTTCGGGGTGGGCCCTTTACTGTTACGATTTGCAAATTATTTGAAACTGTTGCGGGCTTTGTTGCCTCAGTGTTTGGTATTTATCATGTGATTTTGTTGTTCACTGGTTGCTAAGGGGAACGGCCTTACTTTGAGACTGCCCCCCAAATACACGGTGAGTGGCCTGAACATATCGAACCTAATCGAATCCGTAAGTAGATAAATCAGCAATAAAAGAATTAACATTGTATCATTGTTGAAATTGACTGTCAATTAAATTCCGATATTTTAAATAATAAAAGCATTTTAGTTACCGATCCTCTTCACCTGACTATTTGTAAAAATACGTCATCAAAAACGTTGATTTGAGTAAAACAAGATAATGGTTCTTGTTATTAAAAAATATATCATTAATATATTTCATTATTGCATCCCTTTGCTGTGTTAGTTGCCCATTTTAATAGAAAAAATAAGAGAAAGCTTACGTTTTGAAAGCTGTTTGCGTCTGTGAGCAGTTATATTTTATTAGATCAATTAAAAAAAAAAAATTAAAACAAAATACTGGCCGCTGTCAGCGCTACCCCTCAGCCTCCTAGTCAACACACCTGTGGTGCAAATTTCAAAATCCCACATTATTCACAAACCTGCCCAGTGGGGTGACCACAACACCCCATCAGCCTTGTACATTTGAGAGTTAGCAATCCTTATTAATCATAATAAGTTAACAGTTGAATGTAATATGTAAGATTACTGTCCCAACTGATTTACAAAAAAGTGGTCCAGAGGTCACCTCACTCAAGTGCTGCACAATTTCATGTACTTTATTCTGGACAGAGAACGTGGAACATGGAGCTTCCAGGGAAAGTTTCTGATTTCAGGATGAGATGAAGGCAGATGAAACTTAAAGGAAGCAGCTGAAAGAAGACTTTTTATTTATTTTAATTTTTATGTGTGTGCAACACAGAGATTGAAAAAAAATGTTTGAATCTTGGACGAGGGTGTCTAGTGATAATGGCCAAAACACCCAATGAATCCAAGGTCCACTACTGACGATGTGTCCCAAATCTTAATATGGTAACCTAGATCAGATCTCTAATCCCCCCCAAAAATGTCAGATTAGCTTGGGTAAAAGACCGAAAGTTGAGGCACACAACGATGTGTGCTGCTGGTAAAGTTTGTGGGCTGCCTTTCCTCATAACAGCCATCCCTCAAGATTCTCACCATTTAACGCAATGCATTATCAGGGACTACAACATCTAGTCCTTTTACTGAATTACTACATCTAGCTCATTATTGTGCTATTGTACTGTTACACTGTGGTATGTTGCTTTTACACTCTATCATCCAGATGATAATAACATTATTATCAACACCTGTATTTAAAAAAAAAATAATTTAATGTCATAATGACTATTGTGACTCATGACAAATAAATATATAAGAATCGTATACAAAAAAGCCATACACGTAATATCTGAGTCAGAAATATTTATATTATTTCCAATGTACAGAATACAAAGGGTAAAAAGATCATCACGGTCCACTTCACAAATATGTATGAGAACAAACGAGAAATAAAACGAGAAACTGAGATATAAACTGAATCGTCGAACTGGTACAATCTGTCCTGAGAACCATTTTCCAGTTTTACAGCAATAACATGAATTCTGCTTTACCCAATAAACCTTTGCATGTTCTGATATAATAAAGTTACAGGCATAATAAATGTTCCTTTGGAGGAAAATAGGTTTATATAATGACTATCTTTGGTTTGATTGTTTTTTATTTTTGCACCTGCATCATCACCGCTGCCTTTAGGCGAGAACTAAAAACTTAATTTCACTGTTACACATTCATCTCCCACTTTTAAACTCCAAGTTGCCTTCTACTTAAAATAGATAACTTTCTCTATTTTTTTACACATACGTGTGTGTGTGTGTGCGTGTGCACAGTGTTAAACAAACCGCTTTAAAATGAATAAAAGAACCTTCGGATATGAATTTCGTGACTTTAATACTATTGAGGATGAATTTTCTGAATCACAAAGTTATATAAATTCATTACATTTTGGAAGACTGCGTGTTCTTAAAAGGTTGCCTGACAGCTTATTGTTGAATACCACAAACAAAGAAGGCACTAGCATAAAATAAGGCCTCAACACAATTCTTTGTATTTTCTATTTCTTTGTGTTTACATAAAATACTTACAGGCCTTCAGATATAAATGCATTACCAGCAGGGTGGTTCTTTTGCTTAGAGGAATTATTTATAAAACTTAATACTTACATAACTTCTGCTCTTCTAACTATATAACTTATATAATCTATATAATTTCTAACTCTGGTCCTCTTCACATTTTCAGCTGGAATTTAACCAAATGACAAGAAACAGTGAACGAACAAATACTGAAAGGAAAGAAACAACTTCCACTCATCTTTAACAAATATCTATAAAATCCTATTAAAGAATCTGAAACTGTTAATATTTATCACTAGCCATATTATTAGTTCATGTTTCACATCAGCACTTCAATCGGATAAAAACTCTCTCTCGCTGAGCCTCTCCCGTTTCCCACAGCTCCATGGGATTCTGTTACGTCTCTGAAATCTTCTCAGCAGGATAGATTTGATCTATTATTAGAGTATTTTGCAGTTGAAGTGAAAATAAAAGTCAGACGTTGTAGACACGAAATCTAAAATTGAGAGGGGAGTGTCGCAAAGTGCTGCACGACTCTGACTTCGCTCTCCAAGTGCTGCAGAAAAGTAACGCACAAAGACAAATATCACCGCTGACACACAACATTACATGTTAATGAATATGTTGATGAAATAGCTCCTACTTTAGAGATACAGTTTGTGGTCACTGGTAGGTAATATACACAGTAATTCTTCAGGGGGAGAATTCAACCAAACTAGTACAGCTGTGATCCCAGCAGGGGGCGCCAACACACAAGCTCAGTCCACCAGGGAGAGCTGTTCTTCAGTGATATGTCAGCAACAAGCTGAGGTCACTGTTCAGCCTGTCAGTCCTTGTTGAATCACCTCAAGCGGGTCTTTGCTGTGGACTGTCCTGGCATCATGCTGCCCTGCAGCCTGGTCCTTGAGTCCTGCAGTCTTTAAGGTCTATCAGTCTCCACTAAAGTAGCTACAGCTGGGCCGACCCCTCTCCGGAGCAATTGCTCGGCCGCGTGCCTGTGGCCACAGTTCTGGGTGTTGAGGTGCAGGGATGAGCCGCGGGGTGGCTCACGGGGTCCTGTGGGGCCTCATATTGAGGAAGCTCGCCTTCTGAAGCAAGCTCTCCATCTTGGAGGTAAGGGGGCGGAGGGAGGTCAAACCAAGGAGGTCGACTAAAGAGAGACAGAAGAAACATTACACTGGGTTGTACAATCGTTTCTGTGCCAGCGATCAAGGACAAAACAGGATGTATTCTCCCATCTGAGAATATAATGGAGTTAAGTAAGAACTATTTTGAATTGAATTTTCACCTTTTCTCATTTAGTTTCCATTAATATGAATAATTATGCAATCATTTAGTTTTTTTCCACCCTTTGAAGCAAGAACACTGAGTGTCTGTTAAAAGAAAGCAAACTTCCTTCTTTTTATCAGGATCTCATTACTATTATTTTGCCATTTTAACAAATGTTCTCTTTTTTGGAGCTAATATCTGAGCAGGAACATTTGTGTTTAATAATAAATGAGTACACAACAGTTACACGATTGTTCATTGCAAATAACATAAAAGCACCCGTGGGAAGCATGCTGACAGATTTCTGATTGCAAGCAGATCATAGTTTGATAGAACAGCACATTTGCTATTTCTTTTCATTTTGCTTTTTGGATCAGTCTTAGGTTACAGTGTGAAAATGTGGAAATATGTATACAGACACTAGAACTACTTGTTCATCTCACCTGACATCTAGAACAGCTTGTGAGTATGATGGAGGGGAATCCATGGAAGGTGCTGAGGGATACAGGGTCCCAGACAGTAGCTGCAGAGCTCGAGGTGTTGAGCTGTATTGACCGGCTGTGGTGGGTGAGCCAGGGGAGAGTGCCGGACCTGCAGTATGTAAGTGGCCTCGGTCCAAGATGACCAGACGGGACAGCAGCAGGGGCTGGTGATGGTGGTGGGTATGTGAACTTCCTCGTACGCCTCTGGGCAGCAGGACGCTGCGTTTTCTCTGGTGATGGAGAACCAAAGCCAGCAAGGCTACCACAAGGACAAAGATGACGGTGCTGCCGATGACGGCGTAGGTGATGCTAGGGTAGTAACGCAGGCGATAGTCCAGTGTCACAAAGTCCTGGCCAGGAGCTTCTGTGCAAGAGAGGAAGGAAAGGAAGAGCAAACTAAGGATGCATAATGTAGGTGGATGAGAAAAAAAAAAGGATTAGTGGTGCTGAGGGACTCAGAGGGGAATGGAGGAAGGAAGGATGTAGAGGAGGAGGAAGAGGGGAATTTAATTTAAGGAAGATGAGTTGTGGTGTTGGAGAGCCAAGGGAATGGAGAAGGGAGTAAAGGAGGCAGGCATGAATATCAAGCAGTAAATTGTTTTTAGGTTCATTTGGAAATGTATTCTATGTGATTCAACAGCGGCAGCCTCTCCTGGAGATGAGTGTGCTAAGCAATAAGCATAAAGCAGTCAAACTCTAAGAGCTCCCAGAGACAAAGAGAACAAATCAACCATGGTGCACCAGAGCAGAGGCTACTTCTAAAGCCTGGTTCATAAACAGGGACTCTTTAGTATGACAGAAAAAGAAAGGAGAGGGAAGCTAAATAATTCATAGTGAGGGCAAAACAGCTTATAGCATTTTTAGATAAAATGCAACTTGAAGATGAGAGCGGGCAGCGAAACACCAGGGGCCGTCACACTTTGCCATGTTTGTCCCGGGGAGATGCAGAGTTTGCAAACTACTCAAGAGTCCAGTGAACCTAATGTTCACAACGAGAGCTGGAGCCAAACACACAAGTGCAGAGCAGCCTACCTGCTGCATGAAATGAGGAAAAGGACGACAGTAATGCTACAGGGCACTGCAGCTTATTATTTTAGATAGGATGAGGAAGGGCCGCTTAAATATTTCCGCTGACTGATATTACAGTGTGAGAATTTCAATCAGGTGTCGGGATGGGGCTCATGTAAATGGTGTTTCAGCTTACCAGATGACTGTACTGTTCTATTAAGGAGAGGCAGCAAGAGAGTGGAAAGAAATCTATTTATTACAGGGCTGCAGAAAGGATGTGCTGATGAGAAATGACTATATCTAAGTATTTTATAGTTGCTATTTCACTTCAAATTACACTAATGCTAACTAAGGCTGTGGATATCAAACCTCAAAGTTACTTACTTTCCTCGTTCTCTGCTCAAGGTTTCCATTTGCTACTTAAAAGGCCATGTGCATTAAAGTCTAGGAAACTAACTTCTTCGTCCACAAGCCATCATGCAGACAGTTGAGGCTATTGCCCAGATAGCTTGCCAGGAAATGACCATTACAAGACATCTTAAGGTCAAATCAATAGTCTGAAAGTGCTTCTATCTGTAAGGATTAGATCCCCAGAAAGTGCAAGGTAAGGCAAGCCTTTTTGGAGCTTTTTGAAGTATTCCATGCTTATACAGACTTACAGGCTCTTGAGGGATATTGTGTTTAGTACAGAGTAGAGATCTTCTCTGCATTTATGAGGTAGAGGTACAAAGACCCAGAGAACAGAACCACGAGAAGCTCAAAGTCAACTAACGTGAGTCTTTCATAGTGATTATTATACCGGCTAAGATGCTTATGAAATGGAAGTCCACTTTCTGATTTCATCTGCATCAATTTATACACTGCTAATATGCAAAGAAACAGGAACATATGTAAACCATTGGACTAACAGATGAAAGCTCTCCAGTTCAATCCCAGGAGGATCTGCTACATCAAATATGTGGCGCTCCCTGCTGTGGTAACCTCTGGTGAATAAGTGAGCAGCTGAAAGTAAGGATAGGAATTCAAATCATGCTACGATTCCAATGTGTACACAAAGGGAAAGTTCTACATTTTTGGAGAGGGGCCAGCTTGAAGCAGCAAAAACTTAGAGCCTGACAGATATTTAAGGAACCTGAAGGACATTTTTTAGGATTTTTAAGGCTGATATTGATACTGTACAGTTTAAAAACTTGATATTCAGGAACACTGGATGATATTTGTATATTATATTTTATCAGTTAACATTTGGAGTTTGTATTTGTTTTTTGTTTTTTTTAAACATTTATTTATTGGTTTTAACCGGTTTTACATGGTACATCGTGAGCATTAAAAAAATTAAAAAATAAAGTAAAAAAAAAATAAAAACAAAACCACAACAACAACAGAAACAACATAGTAATAGAAACAAAAACAAAGCAAACCATAACAAAAGGGAAGGACAGATATACAAATCAAGTTAGAGTTTCAGGCTGTTAAGTCCACAGTGTGTACGTTGCAGTTCTCCAGAAAGTTGTAGAATTTTGACCATATAGCCCAAAACTTGTCCAGTTTATTTCTTAATGTATAAGTTATTTTCTCCATTGATAGTATAGATGTCAGTCCATTAAGCCATTGAGATAGTCCACATATTTTTGGATTTTTCCAACACATAGCAATACAGTGCTTGGCTTCCAAAAGTCCAGTCGTTAACAGAGCTCTATTGTTTGCAGCAGGTACAAAATTATT